GGGCACCTACAAGGGAATTCAGAAAGCCCATGGGAAAATTCCATTTTTTTTCTTTTCCAACTTTCTACACTTTATTTGAAGCCCCTTGCATTTGCTCCACTTTAATCCTCACATTCCTGACTCTCTGCTTCTAGTTTAATTTTGCTAAATCCTGTGGAGTCTCATCACCTACCTTGGTCGATCCTACTGTAATACTCTTGCAGCCCAACTTGCTCATTGTATTGATTCCAGATAGAGTAGAAACTAAACAATGGACAACATCAGTGCTCGCTTCGGCAGCACATATACTAAAACAATGGACAACATCGTCAATCGGTACGAGACAAGAGGTGGGATGAATCTTTCTAGTTCTAAAAAGCCACGAAAGCGAGACGTAAAGCTGGAGTCTGAGAAGGCCGGAAAGCAGGTGTTACGAGCAAGACACAGGCCATCAAATGCCATCTCCCGAGCCTTCGCTTTCCTCCCATTAGGTGTTCTCCTGGCGAGAGCACCTCCCTGCAGCGTCTCCCAACTTGCTGCTCAAAGACTCACCACTGCGAGACCAGAGTCCTCAAGCCCCATTCCTGACCCCAAGTACACTCGGCAGCCAGATGCATCAGATTTCCTGGGGTCACAGCAGGGTGTCTAGTAACAGCCTTAACCTCTTCCCAATGCACCTCCTTCACTGCCTCCTCAAATATCCAATTCCCAGCCCCTCCACCCCTACACTTTTTGGAGGCTTAGAAAGGTCTCTCCCTGGATTGCACATATGATCACTACAAAAATAGTCCATTAACACTAACCTACTGGCCCAAAAGTTAGTGGTTCCAATCTACCCAGGGGAGCCACAGAAGAAAGACCCGGCAAGCTACTTCCTTAGGGATCACAGCCAAGAAAACCCTGTGGGGCTCAGACCTACTCCGGCACATGAGGTTGCCATCAGTAAGAACTGACTCAATAGAATAGGGTGTAGGGGCTTGGAATCAGCCTGGCATCTGTTGGGTCCGAGTCTACATGCAACCACAATGCACAACAATCTAGGTTTGTTTCACTGTCATGCGGACACTTCCTATTTGGGTATCTAACTAGTTACCCTGCTTATTTATGCAGGTTCCACTTTTAACTGGAACTCCGCAACATTGGCCTCACACTGGCCAAGCCCTTTCCCAAAGTCTGACACCTGTCATAATACACAGTCCATGCCCCTAACGTATGATCATCACTCAAAGTTTCTGAGCCTCAGGTGTCCTATCATCCCCCTGCGTAGATCCCCTTGAACTGATGTCATCCAAAAACAGGTCTTATAAATAAATCACAGCCCATCAAGGTTGAACAACAGACAGCAGTAGGGAAGAAGATAATGTTGTAGAAGAAAAACAGGATGGGAAAAATGTCCATGACAAAATGAAAAGTTAGTAAAACAGATGGCAGGATATGTAGTACGATCACCATTGTTTGTAAGCAAGTAACGATAACAACGACAACCAAAACCACAGAACTGGCATTGGGATGGTTTCCCTTCCAAGCACTACCACCATGTTACCGTCCATTCGAGCACTGTTTGACCTGGTCCCTTCACCTTGGCCCTATCCACATAATCACCTGACCTCAGAGTGGGTCTATAGCTACCCATTCTGCTGTGCCATACGCCCAGCTAGTCACAAGCTGCAAGGGACCATAAACACATGCCCCTCTTGTCCATGTATCGGTTGACCCCTTAACATCTCAGCATAGTTCAGCTCTCCTCGCTGATCTACATCATTAGCGAAGGCAGGCAGGGGCAAAAAATCAGCAACGTGTGCAGCACTGGACGGTCTTACAGAAAGCTGGTGGAGGAAGATCTCGTGGAGTGTGGCCCCCCGGAGAGCAGGGGGCTACTGTGTTCTAGCTGCCCTGGGAGGCGCACCAGCATGTCTTTCCCGGTAGCGTAGGCAGACGGCATGGCAAGGCTGGCTTTGCCCGAGGAGCCACACAATCGATAACTGAGCCGAGAGAGAAAAGCTGACTTTGCTCATCATGCCTGTGACCCAAGTCATTCACCCAGTACTGCCCTCCAAGGCCTTGCTTCAAACTAAAAACACACAAAACTTCTGAAGGAAACTAATCATGATAAGCATCTGCTCCTCCCGGTTGGTCAAACTGCATAAATACTCTCCATTGTGTAAAAAACACTGGGCTCTTGATCCTGCTAAAATCTGAACTATTTGAGGAGAAGGCTGGAGGCAATACAGCCTCTGCCTGGCTCTCTTTCACTTCAGCTAAGCAAACTGCAGCCGGACCTTCCCAAATGCCAGACGCGGGGAAAAGAGCATGCTGCGTGCCCTTCTCCAGGTCCCTTCTCTTCCAGTTTGCTGTGTCTGGGGTCCTGGGCACCTAGGTTTATATTCTGGCCCCCGCTTCTCTGTATTCACGTAGCTGGTGTGAATCAACGTACCTGATTTGGTCCTGGCATCTGCCCAGTCCACTGCACGTACGTCTGCAGCCACCTGCGATCCCTGATGCTGTAACCTTCTGCTGACAAAAAAGGGCTGCCCTGAAATACAGTACCGGGGTCCCCTGAGCACCTTATTCTCCAGGCACTTCTTCTGCGCCTCCTGTTTGTTTGCCATGGAGACAGCAGATTGGGTCATATGCGTTTCCTAATGAGCTGGCAAGAGTGAAGCTGGGACACCATGTAGGCAGCTGTGTGTGTGCCACACGGAGAAGTGTCATGACAAGAGCACCAGATCCAGAAAGCACAAGAAACAGAGATTCCTTCTGAAACCAGTTAGAGAGGGGCCGACGGTCAGGACAGGAAAACCTGGTATCAGCTACACAAAAGGGCACAATGTTGTTAACCACTTACAACTCCACCCCAAACCCAAATCCTCCACTTTTGATACAGGAGCCCCGGTGGCACTGTGATTAAAGCACTCAGCGGCCAGCCGCAAAGGCAGTGGTTGGAACCCAGCAGCTGCTCCGTGGGGAAAAGGTACGGTCGCCTGCTTCCAAACAGATGTGCAGCCTAGGAAACCCCAGGCTCTCTCCCCTGTTCTATAAATTGCTCTGACTTGGTTACATGAGTGGCGTTTCTTCTTGGGGACAAACATAAGTAGGAAGTGGGGACCTAGCCTAAGAATTGACTTCCAGCCCAGATAGTTTCGGTTCATTTTGAAAACAAGCCTCGGAGTCGGGTGCAATGTGTTCCGTGATCCTTGAGCGGTTCTTCCAGCTGGGACTCGGCACGGTTCACACCTGGGAGACAGGACTGTGCTACTCAGGAAGTGAACATTGACAAGACATGAAGACAGCCAGGGTGTCTGCACCCTCTGTGGCGAAGGACACTGCCGAGGCATGCCGGCTTCCAACACCGCCATGGACCAGATCTGCTCCTGAGAAAAAGCATACTTCACACAGGGAATTGGTGTGAAGCATCTCTGTGTTTACCAGGCACACCCACACCTTAATGCACACAGCTCTTTTTAGATTGCCCATGTTGCTTAAAGCCTACGAAAGCAAGGGTGGGGAGTGGAGCTCCATGAGCTTGTCCCAACATCAGACTCAAGTGTGAAATGTCTGTGTCAATTCTGTTGTTCGGCTCCAACTACAGAAATTTAAAAAAAACAAAAAACCCACAAGATGGCTCCTTCTCCGTCTAAATGCAGGAATAAAGGTGGACATTCACAATGTCCTGCACTGAAAATCTCATTGAATAGAATAGGGAAGTCGTTGAATACTATGCCTTTCTATTATAGCCAAGAGATTTTCACAGCAGGCAGTCTGCTGGGAACCACGGGAGCCCCATCACTTAGAAGAAACTGGCGCGCTGGGTCTAGTGTGATGTGTGCTCCCGTGTCTCTGTCCTTGCTCCGGGCTGAACAGAGTGGGAAATCCATAAAGAGTGGTTGAGACAAGGACAAGCACACCATGCGTTCCCGTTTTGTCTTTATCAACAACGCGATCGTTGTTGATAAATTACTGGAGTGGCCCTTCCAATTACTGGAGTGGCGGCTGATGTCACCCTTTGAAAATCAACTAAGAAAAGATTTTTTTGGTTTGTTTGTTCCCTCAATGCTGAAGTGGTAGACGAGTCATTTGCAACCAAGGATAAAAATCAGGCAATCCAGGTGGAGCTTGGCCTGCTTTGCCTACCCATCTGGTGTGATAATACGGTACATCAGTCAGGGACACACTTCTCTTACACACAGCCCTCCTCGCCCCGCCCCTTCCAATGAGCCCACAAGAAAATCTATTTAGTAAGGACATTCTGCACAAGGCATCCTAGGTGCTGAATTTTCTTTAAACAAGGCATTAATAAAATCACAGTAGCATGTGATACACTTTTTAATTCCTTGAGGGTAGGAACCATGGTTAAGCTCTAATGAGTTTAATTTAGTGGGCGCATTTAGGTCCTGTTTAGCTGGGAGCAACCAATAGAATATTCCTAGCCCTCCAAGAGCCATCTACATAGGCTGAACATTCTAGAGGAACAGGCAATCAGACCACGCCCATCTTCGATGACTAGACTGGTCCAGCTGTTGGCACGTGCTCAGTGGAGCTGGCTCTGCTGAGTTGCTAACTGAAACTGCGAGCAACAGCACCAGTGACTGAAGGGCAAGTTTGGGGAAGAGGCTGTTGTTTTCACGGTAGAAGGAGTTTCCGTTCGCCAATACCGAGTGGTATGAAAAGCAGGCCGGTGGCATAGTGGTTAAGCACTCGACTTCCGAAAGAAAGGTCAGATGTTCAAAGCCACCTATCTCTTGGTTTCTGTAAAGATCTTCGCCTTGAGAACTCATGGGGCAGTTCTGCTTTGTCCTACAGAGTTGCTCTGACCTAGAATCTACTCCAGACCAGCAGGAGATGAAGAATGAATGCCTTGGGGCTGATACTGAGGCCACAGCTCCGTAGTAACAGCTCCCGGGAGGCTGCAGAGCCTCAAACACAAAGTCCCTGCCAGTGGGACCTGTGCCAGCGCCAGAGCCCCTTTTCACGAATGCTTCACTAGCAAAAATCAACAAGCTGAAAAGAGTGGCAGTACTCACAAACTCCGGTGTTCGAAACTCACGCTGAACTTCCTGGGAAAATTCAGAGGTAATTGTCTGTCCGAGGTTGTCCATCACTGTGAAAGAGAACAGACAGATCGATACATTACTGAATGCCACAAACACACACTTCCACTGGCCCCTATACGGCTCTGCTTTTACATCGACAGCACTAGGTCCACAACAAAACTTAGCATTTGGACTGCATATTCAGGTTCCCAGTATTTAACACGCTCAGGTATTAGGGACACACCCTTTAAAAGCCGTTTCACCCTCTGCACAATGCCAGGCTAACAGGATCTTAGCTCTTAACGTGCTCTGGGCTAGATCTGCGACAGAGAAGCATTTGGATTCCACTTCGAAGAACACACCACTAAGTGCTATAAAACCCTAGCTACAGGTCCCTTGCTGCCTACTGGCGGTCTTTTCTCCCCCTGGCTCTCAGAGAACCCACGTAGAACCATATTCTACCTGTTAGAATAGCACCATCCAACAGAAAATGGAAGGGGAGGCATGTAAGTAGTTTTAAATTTCATTATAGCCTCATTAAATAAAGTACACAGAAACAGGTGAAAATCATTTTACTATTACATTTTCTTTTTTTGTTTTTACTACTACATTTTCTTTAACCTAATATATCCAAAATAGTATCAACATGCTGTCAATGCTTTTAAATAATTACTAAAATATATTTCACTCTCTTCAGTAGTCGGCTTAGCAATTCGGTGTGTATTTTACACACTACAAAGGCTTAATAAGTACATGTGGCTAGTAACTAGCCCCTAGTGCCCATCGCAACCCACATTGGAAGAGGAGTCCAGGAGGTCACTCTGCAAGACACTGGCCCTGTCTTTTCAACAAGTTGTTGTCAAGAATAAAATGTAATAAATAATAATAATAAATGTTAATAACATGGAAATAAATAAAATGTCAAATAAATAAAGGTTAAGTAGAATGGAACAAGGCAACCATTTGCATTGTGTGGTCCTGGATTAGGTCCTGGTTTAAACACACTAGATGTACTAGAGATTTTTTTATCACGAAATCTGGATATGAATTAAGTGTTAATTCATTTTAAGGACTTAAGAAGAAGCTCCAAAGGGTTCCTGGAAATATGGAATTAAAAGACTCTTTGACCTATTTACAATTTTTCTAGTTTTCATTATTTTCTGTTATCTTTTCAACTGAGGTTTTTATGTTTTATTGTTATTGCTATTGAGTTTTTGTGTCCTTGCTTTTCGTTTTTGTAGATTTTCCTCTATGAAATCCAGCACAGGTAAATCCATAGAGATGGTAACTGGATTAAGTTTCCTGTGGGATAGAGCAAGGAGCCCTGGTGCACTGGGCTGTGATCCACATGGTTGGCAGTTCAAAACACCAACAGCAGCTCTGTGGAAGAAAGACTGGGCTTTCTACTCCCATAAACAGTTACAGTCTCGGAAACTCAGAGTCACTAAGAGCCAGCACTGACGTGATAGCAGTGAGTTTGGTTCCGGGTGGTTATAGCAGGAGCCGTTGGGGGGAAAATGAGGAGCTAATAACAAGCACAAGAAAGAAGAAATTGTTCTCAAATTGATTATAGCGATGAATTTACAACTTTTTAATATGCTTAAATTATTGAACTGTAGGATCTATGAACCAAATGTCATTAAACTATTAAAAAAAAATTTTAAGATGATGAAAAATTTCCATGCAAATTGGGGTTGTAAATAAAGATGATTAAATGTGTAAACAAATTTAAAAAGATGCACCACAGAGAGCCTTTGTGGTGCACATACAGGTTTACAACATGAACAATCTCAGGTATCAGGGATACCCACACCCTTTAACAGCTGTGTCTGCTGGACAATGCCAGGTTTATAGGACAAATCCCCCAAACCCACTGCCATCCAGTCAGGGCTGACTCAAAGCAACCCTAGAGGGCAGGGGAGAGCTGCCCCTGCGAGTTTCTGGGACTGTGACTTTTTTCAGGAGTAGAAAGCTCTGTCTTTCTCGCTCAGAGCAGTTGGTGGTCTCGAACTGCTGGCTTTGTAGATCGCAGCTCACTATGCCACCAGGGTTCCAGGTTTATAGAGTATTAGGTCTTCAAAAGCTCTAGGGTACATTTAGATTCTGCACAGAAAGACATGACTAAGTGCTGTAAGACTGCAGCTAAGGGTCACTGTTGCCTCCTGGTGTGCTGTTTTCTCATTGGAGCTCGGAGAACCCATGAGGAAGCATAATCTACCTGTCAGAATAGCACCATCTAAGAGAAATATGATCAGCAGGTCCAGCTTCATCAAAAAGTCAATGACACAAGAAAAGGAGATTTTTTTTCCCCTCCCCAATTTAAAGAGAGCTGTTGACGTAACAATTACGGATTGGACTACAAACAGCAAGGTCAGCAGTTCAAAATAACCAGCCTCTCTGGGGAAGAAAGGCTTTCTGCTCCCAAAGAGGTGTACTGCTTCAGAAACACACAGAGACATTTCTTCTGGGTCCTATAGGGTCATTAGGAATCAAAATGGACTTGACTGATGTGAGTTTGGTATGGTGAGAAGGGATGCTGTTGGGTGTGCGCTGAACTGCGAATGTCAAGGCAAGGTTGGTGGTTCAAACCCACCAGATCCTCCTTAGGAGAAAGTGGAGGCTGTCGCTCCCATATGGATGTATAGCCTCAGAAACCCTATCTGAGTTCACGATGAGTCAGAATCAACAGGCTGGCAGTGGTGAAGGCACATAATGACCTCGAGCAAATGTTTGGTCCCAGACTAGGACCAAATTTGAACAAATCAGCCATAAAGGACTTAAAAAAAAGAGTTAAAGTTGAATATGGAATAAGTACTAAATTATATTAAAAATTACTTTTTAATTTTATTAAGTGTAATGTTATCTGAGCTGTATAGGAACATGTTCTTTTTTAAATGCCCTTTAATTGTTTTTCCAAAGTCCATTGGAAGCTTTTGTGGGAAAGAAGGCCAATTCTTACTGAACCAGAAGAATTCCCTGCAGTGGGCCAAAGGAGGAGAGCGGAGCATTTACAGGGAAACTTCATAGCAGATCTAAGTGATTAGTTATGAGACCCAAATATCAGAGCAATGAAGCCAATTGTGTTTCCAAATACTTAGGTAGGCTTGGGACTTCATTAAGAAGCATCCCGATGATGTGGGTTAGGTTTCAGGTTCGTGAAGACTCTTAGCAAACAAGAAAGATAGTAAACACGACCTTCACTTCCCTGAACTCGCCAACTCACATCACCGCAGGCCTAAGATCTGAAAGGAAACGCCAACAGAACGACAGCACGGAGCAGGGCCCCTGGCTCTTTTGAAAACGGACTTCATCCGAGGACCCCACCCCACCCCCACCCCCTTCATGTGAACGGAAGCAGAAGCAGGAGGGAGACAGGCCAGGAGCTGCAGAGCCAAAATCAGGGTGCTTGCCTCCTGGGCAGGGAGGGGTGGGGGCGGAGGGTAGGCAGAGCAATCACTGTGGGGCCTGTCACTCAGAGTGCTGCGACACAACAAACCAGCTATCTAAACGTGAGAACAAGTTGTCCTAGAGCAGACCACCTTTAACCTGCACTTGTACAGTAGCCTAGGAGAGTATGCTTTATAGCCGGTTTAGATCACAAGGGAAGACCTCAATTACAGCACTCAGATATTAAAGAAGTGTTATCTGCGGTATTTAGGATACAGGGTTTCTGGCAAAATCAGCAACTCAATGAGGCATGATAATGTTGCAAGTTTTTTTGTTGTTGTTAAAGAGTATTGTTAATCTGACTATAGGTCTAATCTGAATTCCTTTCTGACCAGATGCCCTGCTTATCTATTATGATTCTGAGGGGTCAAGAGAGGGGATTTTAAAAAAAGAGAGAGATGGATAAAAACAGCTCTGGTTGTTTTTAAATGAAATAAGCTATAAGAAAATACACATTTTGCCTAAAGACAGAAGCGAAGCAAGATGTATCACCCAGATGTTCTATCCAATTAAAGGCATCTATGTGCAGCTGGAAAGGCTCTGGGAGAGGAAAACAAACATTGAGCTATTTATAGTTTTAGCAATTCTGCCAGTGATGGAAATGAATAGGTCCACTGGCTAACGTCAACACAGAGGAGAAACCGATCATCTGAGTGAGTCAAACATGGAAACATCACCTAGGTAGAACGAAACCGCAGCTGTCGGCCCCATGACCGAATAGAGCACCGAGGAGCAAGTGATTTATGATGCTAATACGATAATGATACTTCAAGTACGGAGGGGCTTTGGTTACTGTTTGATACTCATTGCTGGGAATCTAACTCAGCAAAAATATAATGGTCAAAAATCATGATGACACTTTGAGGAGGGCTTTTTATTCAAATGGGGGAAAAACATGGTGTATTAGTCCAGGTACTTTGGAGAAACAAATCCACAGCAACTCATGGATAGGAGAGAACTTTATGTAAAGAAAGTGTGCATCACGAAAACATCCCAACCCAATGCTGCCCAAGCCCACAAGTCCAACATTAACCCAACACCAGTCCACAAAGTCCTCCACCTCACAAAACAGAGGCAATGATGCCGACTGCAGGAGGAAAGCTGAGTCAGTGAATGTGTAAGCATCTCAGCACTAGCAAGGGTCTCCACACGATTGCTCCAGCACCCAGGGCTGCATCAGGATAGGTCCATGCAGCTTCTACTTGGGGATGTCTTGTAGGAAGTCAATTTTGCAAGTTGAAGCAGGGAGCTGCTAAGGCAGCTGCACCCTGGTGTGACCATCACAAAGCAAGAGACCCGAGAACTAGAAAGGGGAGGCTCACCACCCATTTATCCCTCCGCCTTTCAATTAGCCCCACATGTGATTATCGGCCAGGCTGACACAATTAACTAACTCACATGGAAAAGCAAAAATTACAAAAATCCAGACATGTTTGCTTTTTTCTTTATGTAATATTTTGACATGTATTTTTAGCATTTGAACTATCCTCACAATACATACCAGAAAAGTGCTACTCTGAAAGGAATCATGATTTTGAACCATGGAATATAAAAAGTATTTAAAACCTCAATATTACCTCTAAAGGAGCCCTCACAGTGCTAACCTCAAGGTCAGCTGTTC